AACGAAATGTGACTTCACGTAAGCTTTCTATTTTCACTCCTTGGATACTTTTCTTCATAGGATCACCTAATAATTTAATAAAATTATTTATGAAATGATGTAACCTCTTTATTCTAAGGGCAATTTTTTTAGGAGGGTCCTGCATCCTTGTACGCCATAATTTTAGCCTTTTCCTCTTGATTTAGCAAAATATCTCTTGGGATATTTAAAATAAACTAAATTAACCTAAAAATGTACTCTACTTAATTAAAATATAACAAAACTGATACTTTTCCATATGCGCTCTCGCTACTTATACAGTTAAAGGTGATAAGAAAGAAAATTGTAACTATGGGAATTTCGATCACATTTACAATATAATCAAATGTTACTGTTGAGAATTGTGGATCTTTGAGGCCGAAATAATGTTATAGGAACACCAAATTTATACTGAGGATTAATATTAAAATAATGAAATATTTATTTCATGGACGATTCCTTATATATTCATCGATACACACTTGCACGCGTCTCAGCATTTTCTTCTATACCCGACTGCAAACCGACTCTTCGAGACTTTTAAACGACTCTCCGACGACTCTTAATCGACTCTTCGACGGACCTTAACCGACTGAAGAGTTTACATTCATTTGTTTTCGAGACGTCTCGGACACACATACTTCCACACACTGATATTCACATACAAGTATCTCTACTACGCATTTAACCTAGTCCAGCACAGGAAATTATACATATCTCAACAGTTACATTACTAATTAGAACAAGACGTAACAATCAAGAAACAATGATAAAGAATACAAATATGAAATGGTGACTTTAACCATCACAGTCGGGAGCTGTTCAGAACTGAATCAATAACCACAGAAGAAATAAAACTTTTAGTGGAACTATGGAGATTTCGTGTACTGTGCGTGCCCAATGTTTTTGGTAGCATTGTTATTTATAGTTTATAAGAATTTATGAAATTTCATAAAAATCGGTGTGTCACGCTTAGGTGATGCTTTTCGTTAGATGTCTAAGGAACTGTCGTATTAGACTGCGGTATTGTATCCTTTAAGCGACCTTTGGACGAAATACTCGCCCTTTTTCATTTTTCTGTTTTCCCGTTCTTTTCTTTCATTCAACACTACATAAGATTTCCAATAATTGAAAATTTTTGTGGTACCGCGTTAATTCATCTACAGACGACATCTAGCAAAGGCTCAAATGTTCTATTAGAAATGAAAGCGATCGATAAGCATAATTTGGTCAAATGCACGATAAAATGCACAATGCCTAGCAATAAAGTGTCCTCTTTACACATTTGCATTCTCAAATCTAACATGAACCAAATACAAACATAATCAAAATCAAAACTAACCAAAACGTGGCTCAAGTATATTCCTAACATCTGAAAGTACATTACAAATATTGTATAGTATATAATATAATATATTATATATATTATTATATATATTATATTATATATAATATATTATAATATAATATAATATATGGTCTGTATAGCTGTGAAACAAATACCAAGCGGTTAATATATATAAGTGTAATTTCTCAGAAATCAACGTTCAGAAAAAATCACCGAAATAATAAGGAAGGATCGTTTTGTAAATTATTAATCCTAATTCATTTGCGACTTATGCATGATTTTAAATATTATTAGGCTTGGGCAAGTTTTATTTGGGACAATGATGAAAAGTCACAATTCGAAGTATTGGAATAATTACTTTAATTCACATTTTTATTTTACAAATAATATAGGTTATTTTGTGTTTAGGATCAAATAAATTATTTTCAAGTAATTTTCCATTTTAGATAATACTTTCAAATAAAATAATAAATAATTTGAATTTTATTATTAATTTGAGTTTTAGTTGTTGCATTTTACATACGTTTCAAGTATAATCTAACCAAATTATTTCACACATAACAGCATTTGTTCTCAGAATTATTTTTATTTCAATAGTCTTCGACCAATACTACCTGAATATGAGTACCTAGTGGAATCAGTGTTTCTGATGCAATTGTTGACATAATAAAATCGAAATATTTGAGACATTGTTTCAAGAAACATGTATTCAAATATAAAATTCTATCTAATAGTTAAATAATGAAATAATTCAAAGAAAAATCATTTACCTATTCAAACAAGCTAACTCGTAATTATTTTAAGACAAAATTTAACCAAACAAGGCAGTATCTTCTCTAAATAATCATTTTTCAAATATTTTATTTAAATAATATCTAAGCTTAAATATTATTATGAATAAAAATTATGTTCATTAACAAATAATGTTCATTAATTTTAATAAACGTCGATTTTATGTACATACTTATGTATGTATATGAAATATATTTGTATATATTTTTATAGTTTATTCTCATATACTATTTTACATAAAAATACTTCATTATTAACAAGTTTTCAAATGTGAAATTATATCTACCAGATATTTGAACACATACATGTTACGTGTTAAATTTCTTTGAAATTTTAATAGCGCTGTAATGAAATTTGACTAGCGTGATTATATTGGTAAGATTTAAAATCAAATTGCATAGACGTATATACAAAAAGTTACAAGATAATCGATAAAAAATTATTATGCAGCGTCAATACTCGTCTTAAACAGATAATACAATATATAATAAAAAGTAGTCCGTCTGAATACAAAAGTTTTGTAACTTTTGCGAAGTGTACTATATATGTGCAATAAATATCTTGTAATTTTTAAATACATTTTCAGCTTTGTTTTAAAATATACCAATATTAATCATGATAGTCGTATCTTACATATTATCATATCTTTAATGAAATTTCTGAGACCACTCAGCTCTGTGCTACATTTCTCTGTGCTGCATAGATCACAAAATTTATACACAGTTGTATACAGAGTATATAAAGAGTAGATATAAAAAGTATATAAAAAGTGATTCTACACCTTCGAATCTTTAGAGATCTGTAAAAAAAAATTTCTTGGAAAATTGAGCATTTGAGCATTTTCAAAGGCAAAACTCCTTTTTATTGCTACATATTCCACTCACCACGATGAAAGAACCAAAGTCTCAAAGGAACCATTACTACGTGCAGAAGACATTCCGTGACAATGCGGTTTTTAGCGACTATGTTATTATTGCTACTTAGTTTTGCCTGCATCTGAGAAACTTTAACATTTCTTTCTGAGAGAAGGTTTCATTTGCGATATGTGGTTCCTGTAAGTTTTGTTCCTCGTGATGTGTAGAATACGTTCCAAAAAAAGCCTTAGCCTTGAAAATCATACTCAATGTCAATCTTTTCAGAAATCTCCACAGTCTCCGAGTTGTACAATTTCGCCATTGTGGCTTTTACGCTTACTTTTTATACATCTCTATACTATTATGTGCTCTTTTCCCTTTAATATTGCCATCTTACTACATTTTTCCCTACATTCGCTGCGTAAAGTTATTTTCGTCAAACTTTGGCTTTTGAGATACGCGCAATTTCTGACTTATTTTTTTATCATGTAATATCTTATGTAATAGCTTTCAAGATAAAGTCCAACAATTCCAGTTTTAAGGTATAAACTTCACGCATAGCTTTCAAAATAATTATCTTCGCACTTTAAAATTATCGTTTTTCATATTATAAAAAAGGTTATAAATTCAAAACGAAACAAAATTGAATAATCATTCTCTATATCTATATTAATATATGTTAAAAATGAAATGTCTATTTATACACATAGGCACAACAGCTTTAATTATAGAATTCCAAGGTGAAACTGTAGAAAGGCTAACGATCCTCCGATTTGGATGACTTTTTGATATATTGCGAAACTCAATATGTTACAATATTTTCCTCTACTGGACGAACTTAATTTCTGACATATTCGCCAAAAACTACCGCTATCACTACAGTAAATTCTGCCTATGTTTGTACATTTGTGGCAGTGAATGCGTTAGTATTGGTTACCGTCCGCTGGCCGCTTATCTTTTGCTTATAAATGAAGATGGTTGGCTTGAAGGCCCCGTGCACTACGAGCACATGCGAGTTTGTAGAAAGCATCTGTTAGAACTTACAATATCAATTACAATACAATACAATAAATACAATAATATCAATTATTCATTCGCATAGTGTTTTTACAATTAATTTGTTATTATTTTATGTAAGTGTTGCCGACATTCCCGTGTAAGCCCTTACGAACCGCAAAATCGGTAACGTGGGGATGGTCACTTGCGGAAGGAAAATTACCAGATAACCAACCTGCGTGTCTTGCCCCCTATCATTTCTCAGACAAATTATAAGAGCTTTTTCTCGGGCAATTTGACACAGTTCATTGACCCAGTTCATTGAATCAGTTTATTCAATGAGTTCATTGAGTCAGTTCATTGAGACAGTTCACTGACCCAATTCATGGGTTCATTGACTCAGTTTATCAAGTCAGTTCATTCATGCAGTCCATTGAGACTTACTTTCAAGCTTATTTCGCTTTCAAACTCAGAACCATTTTACATCAAACACATTCAGCTTATATACAGTCCATTCAAATAAATCTTACATCGGTCTAGCGTCTCGACCAATAAGTTCTAACAGACATTTCTTACAGCCTCACATATGCACGTTATACTTTTAAGCACGATGCCTTTAAGCCTGACCAACGAGAGTTTACAAGCAGAAGATAAGCGGCCGGCAACGGGTAACCAATACTAACGCACACGCTGCCATAGATGCACAAGTATAAACAGAATTCACTATAGTGGCACCAGCAGTTTATCGCGAATGTCTTTGAAATTAACCGAGTCACACCTTATATATATAAGAAAATCTTATTCAGAATATCGATTTTTACAATATATCCAAAAATCATCGAGATCGGAGGGTAATTAGATTTTCCGCAGTTCCACTAAATTTTAACTCCTGTTTCTTTGTTTTCGTTCTGTCTTCGTCATTATATCATAATCCAGAAATAACTTCTTAGATTTTTCCTTATAGGAACTGTATGTGGCAAGATTTCTGGCTGGAATAACACTAGGATTATTTATCTGTGTCGCTCCAATATACATAGGTGAAATATCATCACCAGATACGCGAGGTGCTGGAGGTTCTCTGACGACTATCATCTATAACATCGGTATTCTTGTAACCTTCATAGTTGCACCGCATCTTTCATTATCTGCAATGGCAGGAGCTTTCCTGATCATTAACATTGGGTTTGTAATTATATTTTGGTTTATGCCAGAATCGCCGTACTTTTTCGTAATGAGGAATAGAATAGATGAAGCGGAAGAAGTTTTGGAAAAACTGCGGGGCAAATGTGACATTTCCGAAGAGCTTCAAACGATCATCGATTCCCTTTCGAAAAAGAACAAGCAATCATCGAAAAGTGGAAATTTGAAAGATATTTTTACGTCGAAAGCAAATTTTCGTGCATTTCTTAGTATAATGCTGTTTGCAGTGACGCAACATTTTGGAGGTTTCTTTACGATTCTGACATATGGTCAATTGATTTTTAAATCAATAAACAATATAATGTCAGATTATGTCGTAAATGTTGTAATTGGTGCAGTACAACTTATTTCTGCTCTTGTAACAACCCTGCTAGTCGACAAATTTGGTCGCAAGCCGCTAATACTTACGTCAGGTGTCAGCGCTGCAATTTGCAATTTCGTGATCAGTTTTTATTTCTTTTTAAAAGAATATATGCACGCAGATGTGCTATCGGTTTCATGGATCCCATTTATATCGTCTCTTATATTAATTTTCACTTTCAATTGCGGCTTATTATGTTTACAGATTATTCTAATGTCAGAAATCTTTGCAACTGAGATTAAAGCAATTAGCACATGTCTCGTCGGTGTAGTCGGCGGATTGCTTGCTACATTAGGAAGTAAACTTTATATATGGATAGCAATAACTTTGAATTACGGTCATTCGCTTCCTTTTTTTGTGTATTTTGTAGTCGTAGCAGTTTGTACAGCAATTATATTGCATGTTACCCCAGAAACAAAAGGTAAGACATTCGCGGAAATCCAAATAGAGTTGGGAAAGTAATTACCATTATATTTCTTCATTTCTTATCTAGTAAGAACATCGACGATAATTTCCATGTTAATAATGTTCCATGTTAATAAAATAAGTGATTCACGGAAAATGTATTCACGGAAGAAAATAAACACTTAATAATAAGGTACATGGCCAAAAATATTGTATAACAGAAATGTTCCAACAAAGGCTGTAGAAATGAAAATGCGAATTCTCAACTCTTGTAAACATATCTGTAGAAATATATATTCGGATACAATAGAGAAAGAGAGAGAGATAGAGAGTGAGAGAGAGAGAGAGGGGGGTCCTGAACATAGTTTTAGGCCTAAATATGTGTATCTACTAAGTTTGGAGGGCAACACCTTAAACACACATTAGGGTAATAAATAGTGCGATTACAATGTTTATTTTGTTTCTGTAATTCATTTTCTGCGAACTACCACCTCAATCATTTGCTTGCGAAATTTTCGACCAGATCATTTCAAGCTCGTGGTACGAGAGAAGGTCGGATGCACTTTGATTTCTTCCTTTTAATGATAAACAAAAAAATATGTTGTTCCGGTTAAAAAAAAGTTACTATTAGTAAAATCTCAGAAGATATGATCTTGAAATGATCTTATAACCTAACTTCCCCTGAAATACGATTATGTTTTTCCGAAACATTCTTTTGTAACGTGACAAACAAGAGAGTAATTAAGGGTAAAAGAGTTATGGCATTCCGTGTAATAGGTAATCTATTTTAGCTATATTGTAATGTGTAATAGTTGCTGTAATGATAAGAGAGTGAATTTGGAGTAGTCGATTTGATTTGTGAACTAAATTTTATTTGTACATGCGTATTAATAAAGAACAGAATTTATAAAGAACAGAAATCAATCACTTATAGAAAGGAACTCGACCAACATGTAACGAAGAAGAAATATTTGTGTAAAGTTCGTTAATGTACAGTGCTGCGGAAACAAATATATTTCTATATATGCTTGTAAATTATTTCAGCCTTTGATCTTATCTCCGGCCATCATATACAGTTAGTAGATATTGATAAAAACGATAATTAGTATTAGTTAGTATAAATATGTCGGAGATAAAAGAACACCGGAGCCTTTGGAATTTTGGATAATCCTGCAACATTGTAATCTAGAGTCTACTATAGCTGTAATTAAACAATTGTAGTTATTCAATCCGATTGTAATTGTTCGCGAGTTGTGATAATGAGCTTGGGCTCGAGGCGACAGCCAATCGCCGAACGTAGCCGCGGTCACGGGATGAACGCGTAGCCGCGGTCACGGGATGAACGC